ATGTTTTTTTTTCTTTCTAAATCAGGTGGTGCTGAAATTTACGGAGGGAAAAAAAAACACTCAATTATTTTTTTCTCAAGCGGTATTTAAATTCACTGAGGAAAAAAAATCACTATTTTTTATTTATCAATTGGTAACGAAATACACTGAAATATATAATTAAAAAAAAAAAATCGTTTTATCAGGTGGTAACCAAATTTCCAGGAAAAAAAAATTTACAGATTTATTTGAAGTTTACTGAATTTAGAAAAAAAGGGAAAAAAAAAAACATTATCTGCCAGTGCCGAAATTTTTTGTGTAGGAACGAGCCTTTTTTATTTTCATCATATTATTTTTTTCATCGTTTTTTTTATCAGTTAATGAGTCTCTTAGTACTAATAAGTAAACTAAAAAACTTATTATTTAACTATTATTTACTACTGTCAATAATATGCATTAAAGAGTTGCGTAGAATCAGAGTTATATTCTTGGGGGAGGCGGCTTGAAATCCACTCGGTCATAATTTTTACCCCGCTTGTCTAGAAACAAGTGGTAGTCGGTGCTGCAATATTGACCTTATTGCTGACGTTTTACGTTTGGTTTGGAAATTATGAGTCCTTAATCTTTATGAACCCCTTGGCCAACAAATAGCTGTTACTGGAATATTTTTTTTTTAAATGCATTAAAAGTCCTCCATTACGTAATATTTTTTAGTCAACCGTAAAGGTCAAGGAGGTAATATGACAAACTACATTTTCTGACTTACTAGCATATTGACTCAAATAAACTTTTATAACTGACTGTTATTTTCTGGTCAAAGAGCTTTCTATGACACAATATGCTAAGGCCTGTTATATTAGAACAATTACTCGGAAATGACCAACTAGCACATATTTCTTCAAACTAACTTCTATTACAGTCCGTGTTTAGAACAACGTTTAGCATAAAGTCTTGAACTGCTGTTTTGACAATTGGAATACATTTTCATTATCATCATAATTGGCAAGGCGCTAACAGATAGCCAGGGCCAGATGTGCTTTGCAGACAGATAGCCAGTCTTCAACCAAGACCTTCCGTTGAAGATTGTCCACTTTATTGACCAAGACTGCCAGCTTATTTTTACCCCAGTCTCTAAAATCTAATTCCACAGAATCGAGCCATCATTGTTTTTATCTTCATCTTTTTTAACTAGTAAAAGACTCAAAAATTTTCTTTACTGAATATTTTTTCATTCATTCTGGCAATATGACCATCCCGAGCCGCGATGGCTCAGGGGTAGAGTGTTCGCCTTCCAATGAAGTTAACCGGGTTCGAATCCTGGCGATGGCTGGGATACGAATTCCGCATCCGGCTTGCACAGACCGCTGTGCTGACGTGAAATATCCTCAGTGGTAGACGAATCATAGGTTAGAGTCCCCTTGCCGTCAGGCAAACCGTGGGAGGTTCTCATGATCTTCCTCACCATGTAAAGCAAAAGCGGGTTGGTTCCATCAAAGAGTCCTCCACGAAGGCAAATTTCTCCCATTACTTGATCCAGGAATTCCCTTGTCTTCTGGATTAGGTTCTAAATTACAAGGCTACGGAGTTGAACATTAATAGTCATAAACCCTAAATTGGGTCGGCTGTTCAACGACAGTTATAAAATAGAATATGACCATCCCAGTTCATCCTTTTACCTTTTAATACTTTTGATTATAACAGGTTCTCTAAAAATTCTGTTAAATCCTGTGTTAAAACATCTTTGCCAAGAGGCCATTTTCTTTCACATCGCACCGCCTAGAATGCATTTTAATCTTATAAAAGCTAATAATTAAAATTTCCAATGAAACTTCATTCTAAATTTCACACGGTTTTTGTTAGTTACGTGATTAGCTACCTTCTAAAAAGGGGGGGAAATGTTTCTAAAATCCTTATTTCCCAGATGATTCTTCTTTATTCGAGAGAAAAACTGGATTGTCCGCACAACGGAGAGAGAGACTAATAATAAACGTGACATAGCCTGGAGTGACAGACGATCGAGTCCTGGTCACCCCCTGTCCTCTTTTGTCACGTTCTTTTCCTCTCTCGGATGTAATAACTGCCAGTGAAGAATGCACCCCTTAGTCCCCGCGGCCACAAAGGGTTAATCTCTCGATAAAGGCATTTGATTGGCTGGGGGAGGGTGATGACTAAAAGGTCGATTATTTCTTCTTTGCTCATCACCTAACAACACACATCTTCTTTGTTTTTGCTTCCTGGGTGCATTATTGGCAAAGAATTCCTAAAAATGTTTATTTATTTGATGAAGATGGCAACACATTCATTATTCTACCATACAATGGAGAAACTGTTATCTATTTCGAAATAATGTTATTGTAGTGTAATGAAAGTGTGAAACAAAATGTACTAATTTGTAATTGGTTGAGATGTAAAATAATATATTGCAAATTAATATTGTAGAATGGGTAAAAACAACATTCAATAATTTGTATTGATCAATATGTAAGAAAAAAATTTATTTGCATTGGTAAAAGTGTTAAACAAAATGTTCTAATTTGTGCTTAGTTGAAGCGCAAAACAAAATGTACTATTTTGTATTGGTTGAAGTGTGAACACGATTTTGCAAAAAAAGATTGTGCATAAAAATACGAATTTTAAAAATATATGTGGTTTAAGTGTTGAAAATATTTGCAAACTTTTATGGTCTAAAATAAAAAGTAAAACAAATATAGAAAATTTCCAATTTGAAATATGAATTTAAATTCCTTTGACCAATGGAAGAATTTTTTGAGGAATTCTCGTCAAGTTATGGATTGCTCAGCTTTCAGTTATTTACAAAAGCAAGGTAGTCGAATTTAGGAGTTTCAACTTATTAATGTCTAGAAAAACCGGAAACTGTTAAGCTCAAAATTCCAAGACTTTGTTTCAAAATTACAATTTAAAAGTAGTTTAATATTATCATTTGGATCATCATTTTTATAATGCTTGTATTTTTTGCATTGAAACTACTTAATTTATCAGGACACCTCATAAAGTTGTTCTTTTACACTTAGTATAAATGTTTTTTTTTCTCTAGCTTTATCAAGAAATAAAAAGCATTAAATTGAGTCACTGTATTAGAAGTTTCCTATGGAAAGTTTGGTAAAGCTTGTAAAACGGAATGAAATTCCTTTATGTAAAATAAAATGTGCACATTTCAAGAGGTTAAGGTATAAAAAAAGAAGAAAAAAAACTTTCACAGTTACATTGATTAAACTGTAAAAGTTGATTATGAAGGTTAAAGGGCTAAATTATGAAATTTACATCGAAAAATTTATGTATCGTTATTATTGGATTGCCCAGGGCTGATTTTTAGCAGTTTTCTCTCTATTTTAGCGCAAACGGGGATTTATTCACTCAAATACTTAAAAAGAACAAATTTATTCTTATGTGTATTTCATTGATGAGTAAATAATTAACCAGGGTGCAATAAGTTGTTTCATTGAATAAAACTTTTCCTTCACTATTAGAAAGAGCGTGCTAAGCCATCAGGTCGTTAAAATTTCCGTCAATCTTGAAAGGTTGCTAATTTGAATCTTATTATTTGTACTACTTAAACTCAACGACTCGACATTATGGTTCAGATATATGGCTCAATTTAATACCTTATTAAAAGTACACCAAAATTTCACCGTATTATGTTTTCGAACTACCGATATTGTTGTATGACTTTTAACCGAGTTTTCTAAGAATGTAAGAGAGAAGAAATGAAGTTTGGAAAATGGACATAAAAGCGTTCAAAATAGTTGTAGAATAGAATGTTTAAGCTCTAGTAAGAAACAGAATGTTCTAAATTATATTGTGTAAAATGTCGAACAGTATTTTCAAACGTATATTGGTTAAAGTATAGAAATAACTTAGCAAATGTGTTTCAAAACAATTTAAATTCTTTTACCATCTAATTGACCCAGGAAAAGTTCAGCGATTTTCCTTATTCGTGGAGTGCGAACAGGGATTAGTTCCCCTCAAAAAGTCCCCAATGGAAACAAATTTATCCCTGTATATATTTCATCGAAAACTATTTAATTTATCAGCAGGGTGCTTCATAAAAACGTTCTTTTACATTGAGTCGAAACATTCTTTACACGAAATCAACCGACTTCATCCAGAGATAAAAAGGAACAAATTGTGTCAGTGTATGAGGATTTCCCCCAGGGGGGGGGGGATGGTGGAACTCGGAAAGCGGAAATAAAAACCTTCTAAAAGAATAAAAAGAGGTCCTATAGACAGATAACATGAAGTGTTGCTATTGAATTGAATTGTCCTTCCATTGATTGATTGATTGTTTTATGCGGAGTCGTCTGCCGAAAGCAATAAGATTACCTTCAATTCTTGTGACAACCCTAAATATAAATGTTACATTCCAACATCCCTGCATACCTTCCATCCTCTTGGCCATTCCCTTTTGTTCTGATGTGAATCGAGGAAGGCAAGGACAAAGCGATTGTAATTAACTAAATTGATCTGCGGTTTATCGATGATACGTTATGAAATAATCGATATTGGTATTTTGTTGTAAGGAAGCTCTTTCGAAATATATGGTTAGTTAGGCATGGCTCTTATTATAATTCAGCTGAACCTTTTTAGATTAAATAGTTCGTTAAATTTTTTATTAGATCTCTCATATAATCTAAATTCTTAATTGTTTTTGTATTTATTTCTTTATAGTTTCTTGATTTTAATCAAATAATTTTATAACCGTCGTTGAACAGCCGACATAATTTTTTGGGATTACGATGTTCAACTCAGTAGCCTTGTCATTTTGAACCCAATCCAAAAGACAAGGTAACTCCTGGATCAAGTGCTGGGAGAAATTTGCATTCGTGGAAGATTTTTTGATGGAACAAACCCGCATTTGCATTACGTGGAAAGGAAAACCGCAGAACCTCCCACGGTTAGCCTAACGGTAAGGGGACTCTAACCCATGATCCGTCAACCACTGAGGATATTTTAAGTCAGCACTGTGGTTGGTGCGAGCCGGATGCAGAATTCGTATCGATCAGCCATCGCTGGGATTCGCACCCGGCTCATCTCATTGGAAGGCGAATGCTCTATTCTATCCCCAGAACCACCACGGCTCTAATTAAATCATTAAATAAATATCGTTTGTTTAAATTGTCATCTTTGGTCAAATAATTAATGCGCAACATTTTCATTAATTTTGTGCCCGAGATTGCCATTGTTATTCAAATTAATTAATGCTGCTCAACTTTAATGTCGAGAACTTGACTTTCACGCGAAAAAATTTCCAATTTAGAATAAAAGTTTAAATCGGGGAAAGAAAAAATTGGAAATAAAAATTTCTACTAAGAGTTTCAAAGGTGAAGAATTTCAAGCACAGAATAAAAACACTCACACACAAAAAAAAAAGAAACAAAAAAAAACAAAAACAAAAAAAAAACTTGAAGAATATTCTAAATATTTTTTTAAATGCGTTAAAACTTACATTATGTTTCAAACAAAGTTACAGTTCTTATTTGAATTTAATCCTAAAGTTAGATGACTACAGTAAGATTCAAATTTAAAGCAAAAATCAGGGAAGGTGTTGTTGCAACTTACTTACATAAGGATAGGATGATTTGCTTATTTTTGCTGATAAAGGGGAGGGGGAGTCCAAACATGCTTATGTATTATTTGACCGGTTCCCGTGAGGATTTTAAATTTTAATAACTTTGAAACATAATGAATATTTTTATCAATATTTTGAAGTGAATGGTGAATGACAAAACAAACATTTTAGTGGAAATAATCGAAGTTGTCAAAAGTGGAATGATTGTTTACTTTTATGGTTTTCTTACTATTTCCTCTTTCGATAATCACATCCTGATTATCACCTGTGATTGCAAAGTTGTTCACAGTTTGCAGACTTCCGGCGGTCATCTTTTGACCATCATAATCAGGTGGTCATTCTGGTTCTGCGGCTTCTCTTGATCTCATCAAATAAGATATCTTTATCAATTCTCCTTCAGTTTAACTGTCATTATCAACTCTCCTTCAGTTTGACTATTATTTGGTTAGGAAAAGACGTTGTTAAAAAATACGGACTTATTCTAATACTTTCCTTTAAATAAGTAAATGTTACCCAAAATAGGTAAGTTTTTATTTTTAAATTCCGTTTTAAAATTTAATATTTTTTTAAATGTATAATTAAATTAATATTAATTATAAAAAAAACAACCATTAAATGAATTATCCTAAGAAACTAAAGTGGGAAGATATTTTTTTTTTTTAATTCCCAATGCCCACCTATGTTAATAGTTCTTCAATACAAGCATTTTAGAGGGCAGATTTGTTAGCCACTCTTTCAGGGGCACACTATTAGGTGGGCCAACATTGCCCCCACACTAAGGGCAGATAGCACAGAGAATGAACGAATATCCATGCCTTCCCAGGGATTTGAACCCAGAACCTTTCCAGTGGGAAGCTATACTTGATGATTTGAACTTCATTTGCTACTTCACTGGGAATAAAATTTAGGAATCTTGTTTCATTTGTATGAATGCCGATTTCCTTGTGAACGACACGAAATCCTCTCCACCTCTCCATAGCGGATGGAATGCATTTTACCTGATTTGTCTCTTTTGGCCACTGCGGGTTTTCTAGCTTTTTTTTTTTACCTTTATTTATTTTTTCCTTTTCTGTTTCTTTCTCGGCTATCGTGGTTTTTCTAATTTCGTGGTTTTTCTAATTAATACGTCTGGTGAGTTTTAAGAATAGGTGCTTATTTACACAGTTAATTACGGACCACCCCACCCCGTGTGTGGTACTTAAAGAAGATTCCATTTATGTATATTTGAATACCACGCCAATTTAAGTAAAAGATCCGATTTATGCACTGAACATACAATCTCTCAAATGATGCATATCTATATATATTTCCATGGATAAAAATATATATTTCGATTTAAATACATTTTACCAAAGCGTGAAAATTTATAACTTTATGTCTTATTATATTCCTCACCAACAGACCCTTCTTTCGGTCTTTTTTTTATTTTTTAAAGGCCGACATCCAATTTCCCCTCGGTTTATTCGAAGCCATACCTTGAGGTTATATAAGAGAGAAGTTGGTACATAAAACATACAGCTATTCACTTCAAAAAAGGGGAAAAAATGAGTAGGTTATTCCCTTTCTACTATTTCTAAAGGTAGTAAATTTTCCCTCTCCAGTTTTCCTTACATTTATGCTACGTTTTACTGATATTTCCACGTTTTGGGTACTACCGGATTATGTGCAGTTTTTACTATTCTGGTAGCTTCTTGATATTTGTTTATCTACTATACAAATGATAACCTGTGATGTTTACGAGAATGATATTGGTATCTGTATATTGCCAAAGAAATTAACCATTGTTAACTAATTTGGTAGACTTGTTATTAATATATCAACTTTATCTGTTTACGTAGTTGTCCGTATGATAATGGTCTCGAAATCTCATTGATATAACTGTCTTTAAAATACCTGACTAATTCGAAATGTTTTGATTGTTTTATTGGATGGTCATGTAACGTATTTCTTTTATTTATATAATTACCTGTATATAGTGATCTAGATAACTTTTAAAAAATTTTGATTATCTATCTATCAAAACAGTTAACTTTTGAATTATTTTGATCGATTTGTTCATATATAATGTGTCGACTTAATTTATTTGCATGCAATGATCTCGAGTCCTCATTGGTATTTAACTATCATTAATACACATTACAAGTTATAAATAATTTTAATTGATTTGATCCCATATAATATATTTATTTCATTTATTTACTTGTAATGATCTCGAGATCTCATTCATATCTAACTTTCATCAATACATTTTACTAATCTTGATTGATTTCATCCCATATCTTGATTGATTTGATCTCGAGACCTCATTCATACTATCATTGATACGCATCCAACTATCACTAATACACATTACTAATTTTAAATAATTTTAATTGATTGGATCCCATATAATATATCTATTTCATTCATTTACAAGCAATGATCTTGAATCCTTATTGATATCTAACTATCTCTAATACGCATTACTATTTTTAAAAAAATTTAATTGATTTGATCTTATGTAATATATCTATTTCATTTATTTACGTGCAATAATCTCGAGATCTCATTGAAATCTAACTATCACGAATTTTAATTTTTTTATACGAATAATCTACTTAATTTATTTCTGAAGTTATCATTATTTAAATGTTTTGTAATTTTATTCATAATTAACTTTCACCAATAGACTTTTATAATTTAAAATGGTTTTGTTCATTTGTTTGTTATAATTCATTTATTATCCGTTATATCTTGTATTCAAGGATATCTATAATGTTTATGAATATTATGGGGCATAAATGAATATTGTAATGAATATAATAATGCATGCTACTGGTATCAAATTATTGCCAATAAACTTAACAATTTTTTAATAATCATTTAAAAAATATTGAAGGAAAAATTAATTAAAAGTAACTTGTTTTGAGTTAAGCGAATGAAACGTTAAAACAACTTTTTTTGATCAGCTCATGTGACTAGGGTTCAAACTCAGGGTTTCAAAGTCAGATGAATCTTGACCTTCTTTAAGAGGGAAAAAAACCTCTTTTTTAAATAATAATAATCTCTTTTTTAAATGATATTTTTTTTAAAAATAATTATAATATCAATATAATTTTATAAAGTAGATTTGCGGGGAAATGATTTGAGTCTGTTTTGTTGGAGATAAACTCCAAACACCTTTCTTTCGTGTTAAGTAATATTTAGCTCCATACCTTACACCAGTTTACTTCAATATATTCCATATTCGCACGAATGCCTTATTCGAACTACCTTCTGGATTTTTTTCCTCGCCATTCTGTTTTTCTATACGTAACCCACCTTATTCCCTACGTGTACCAAGAGGAGAAAATATCTATGCATACATGTCTGACCATGTAAGGAAAATGTGCGTGCATTTGTGCGTGCACCAATAAATGAACGCGGGATTCTCGCTCGTTAAAAGGTAGCCCGAAGGTGTTGGATTTCTCGCCATTTACATGTCGCACCAGTATTTGGCTTTTTATTTGGCTCTTACACGGATGAGCATTTACTTCTAGCGATGCTGCTTCAGGGATCTAAAAGGTTTTCCTGTTATACACCCCCTCCCCCTTTATCCTTTTTCCTGCTTTTTGGAATTTATTTATATTTTTGATATCTCTCTCTATCTTCTTGGGCGATCCAAATTCGTTTATTTTTGAAAAGTGTAAATTTATATGTTTATTTTAAATTCTTATCGGTAAGCTGTTTTTGACACCTCTGGCTCAATAATTTTTTTTTAAAGATATAACTTGCATTAAGAAGAATTAAATAAATACGTGATTATTATCTGTTTCATGAAATGTAATACACTTTGTTTAAATTGTATCGTTACTTAGGGGGAAAAAATTATGTGTCTGATGAAAAATTATCGATGTTTGTATGTAATTTAATATCATTACATTTTATGAAATTAATGAAAAATAATTCATAGAGTGAGCGTCTAATTTTCAAGAAGTGTAATCAAATCAAATTAAAATTTTTAACTTTAGGATTAGTAAATATAATTGAGAAAGAAGTCATTTATAAAGTGTGCGTTCAAATTATAATAAAAATTAACAATTGAAAAAGAAAAAGAAAGATTTTTATGTTGTTATTATTATTTGTTTTATTAATTATTTCTAAGCTTCCTTTTTATTGTAAATAAATAAATAGAGTTTTAGCAGTATTTAAGAGAGAAGACAAGAGTGATAAAGATAAACTTAAGTTGATCTGAAAAATTTTAACTTATACAATTTTAGATTTTTTAAGCAAATGAAACTAAACCAAAAAAATAAGAGCATTTTTTTTATAATTTTGTTTATTAGTAAATATTAATTTTTGTAAAAATTTATTTTGAGTTTTTTTAAGAATTTTTAAATTATTTAATTCAATTTTTAGCATCATATTATTTAGTACATATTATAGTTAGTTGTGTACTTCTAGTTGAGTAATTTATTTAGTTGTGCACTTTTGGAACAGGGTATATATATTTGGACAATTTTGTTTACTGTTTCGTTTACTTTTCGTTATTTGTGATTCTAGGTTTAACTGAAGCACTAAATTTAAATTAATATTACCGTTCTTCCATGCGATACTTTCCAAATCTGTACTCTATAATACTTATTCAAAACTACTTTGTATATTTTATTAAAGTACTGAAAATTTTATCAAATTTCTTTTGTTAATATTACTCAAAATTTCGACTATCTAATTTTTTCCTCTCGAAATAAGGTCATGATAAGGTCAGAATAATAATAATTGCGGAAAAATTACTGCTGTAATGATGAATTATTGATTAGTTTTCTATTTAATTGAACTGTGGGAAATTCTTGTATTGTTAGTTTTTAATAAATATTCGTGCTAAATGGTGTGTGTGTGGTAATGTAATTAAAATGGTATTAATTTTTTCTTAGTTTTTTTGCTTATCAATTTTTTTTGGAATTTTCTTTAAATAATTTAATTTGTAAAAAAGGAAGACAATCGTTTTGTTTCCCCTTTTCCCAAACTAAGTGCCTGGAACTGAAAATGCATCAATTTCTTTATAATTGTCGCGGAATCATAAAAGGATAAATTTTCCAGAAATACTCAGGAAAAAATCCCCTTTTTTTTCGCTCTCTTTGTTCAAAATAAGGTCGAATATTATTTATTCTTTGATTGCGCTAATTGAAATGCGTTTGATGCTAGCTTTTTAGCAAAAATTGAGATCTATTAATTTGTTCGAAGAAGAGAAAATCACAAAAGAATTTTTCCCGAAGTTGGGAAAAAATGGTCGCCATAATTACTTTTCCTTCATTTTGGGTCGAGCACTTCCATGTATCACTTTCTTTTGTGAGGGAAACTTTATATGCGGAGGGATATTTTTTTTCCCCTTCCGCATTATTTCTAAGAAAACTACGAGATATGCCTAATGGCGCTTTTCTATTTATAATGATTTCATTATGAGTTTTGCCCCGAATTTATTTGCCCCGCAAAGGCGACGGCAGAAAATTTCAAGCGATATGAATAATAATAATGGAGTTATAAAAAAAAATAAATCGCCTCTT